GAGGGGACCACAAATATTTAAAAAATGCCTCCTAAATTCTCATAAAAACTAAAAACAAAAAAACAAAAAAAAATTACCAAAACTTAAAATATTTAAAATAAAAATAAAACCCATAAATACTTAAGATTAAAATACCCCCATCCACCATCTACAACAGTTTACCAAAGTGGACAAATCTAAAATTCACTTCAGCTCATAAAGAACAAATGTTTAATTGAGAACATCACTAAGATAAATCATCACTTGCTAGTAAGGGTGTGAGACACATTCTCTAAATGATGTTTTTGATGCCAAATGACACCTCAGGTAAGTGTTTATGACCAGGTGGTTAAGTTGCTAAATGACATCATTAAATTATGATTATGGTCAGAGCCTGTATGTTTCTAAATGGTGCTAAATTCTTGAGTAATGAATTAATAAGATATGATTGATAGTCATAAAACCCTATGTTAGTTGAGGTGGATTCAAAAATTTTTCCCTTAGATAAATATTCACCCCATATCTATAAGGTACCGTTGGACAAAGCAACCTATGACTGCCAACAAGAATCCTTTTGTTAGGTTGGGTTGACTACCTCCTCTAACTAAGTAGACTAAGCATCATGATGACCAGGATGACAGAATCATGTGATATTGATCGGGTCTATTATTATTCCCCTAGCCATCCACTTTAAGTGCAATGTGGTGAATTTCTAATTTTAAATGTTAAACTCTGAATGCCCAAAAATATGTTGCTATTATATGCCATGTACTACATATATATTTGATGACTAGCCTTAATCAAATGTTCTTTCTCCCTATCGGGGGAGGGGGACGGGGTAATTAACTACAGGGGCTTGCACCTATAGGAAATATGAACTCAGATCATAAAGTCCTCACAAAATGAGGGTGAAATCTCTAAGTGATATTTTATTCACAATCAAATTTGCCTTTTAAAAATTGGGGTATTTACATACATACCACTTTATTTATTATATACTATATATTTAACACCTAATACTTAAATATTACACAACTACCACCCAAAAATTATTTTCACAACAAAAATACCACTTCGTCAACAACATCGTGCACTCCGTATGTTTTTCTCTAGAGAATAGGTTATTCCCACGCGTATCTCTTTGGTTAAACTCTCTACTCCTTTTTCCTACAAAATGCGTGTATCTCTCTAGGTGAGCTCTCAGTTCCTTTTTATTGCCAAGTTATTTGTCTCTTTGGGTGAGCTCTCTGCTCCATTTTTCCTGCCAATATTAGCCCGTTTAATCATTGGAATGAAGGGCTATTTGATTGCAGCAATGCATCTCATTCCAATTCCATATTAAACATTAATACTTTTCATATCAAACAGTCATACTTTTCATATTTGATCAATCTCATTCTAGAATAAACAACCATACTTTTCATATAATTATTTGGATGGTTTATAAAATTAAGATTGTTTGTTATTCTTTTAATGATTCGGTGTTTGATTTGTCATCTAATTTTAGTTTGAAGGTAAGGAACAAATGACAAGCGCGTGGCATAATTGTTTAATGCAAAATTGTGATGAAGAAGTAGTAGATGAATTATGTGGAGATAAAAAAGAGCATATATTTATTGTATTTAAATTTGGAGGATTTTGGGTTGACACAAAGGAACAATCTAAAAAGAGGTATATTGGCGGAAAACAAAGGACAGTGAAACTTGAGAAAGGATATATGAATATTTTTAATATTAGGACAGAGATTGCTAGAATATGTCAATGTCTTAAAGGACATCAATATAGAATACATTATCACATTAATGGAACATCATCCAAGGAGTATAAAGTAATCAAATACGAAGCTGATGTTAGCCAATTGGTATAATAATCGAATGAAAAATTACGTGCCGAAATAGTTATCTAACTACACTAAGGAGATGAAGATCAATCAAACTCACAGCTCCTAGGGGTTGAGAGTATTGAACAAATTATAGAATGTTCTATTTATTAGAACAATGGTGCTTCAAGATTGCAAAACACAAGTGTAACATATATCACTATTGGTACATTATATAATGATGCATCTTGTTTCAAGAATTCTCTCCCTTCATTTTCCATTAAGGACAACTTTGGGGTGAGGATAAAAGCTAATGATAAGAAACAAGTTATTGTGGCATGTTCATATCAAGGTTGCCAATGGAGAATTCGAGCATCCCTATGTAAAGACACTTAGTCTTTTCAGGTTAGGAGAGTAGATGGAGAACATACATGCCCTAGGATAAATTGTGCTGGGAATCGGCTAGCCACAGCTTCATGGGTTGCTAACGAGATTCAGAAGATAGTAAAGAGGTGTCCAAATATTTCACCAAAAGAAATAAATACCGGTGTAGATAAGGAATTTGGTTTATCATTACCTTATATGAAGCTTTGGTGGGAAAGAGAGCAAGCTCGTGATAACATTTTAGCTCAGTGGATGATAACTATAAATGGGTCCCAACTTTGACATCATAACTACTTGATCGAAACCCAGGGTCAAACATCACATATACATTTAATGCTATTGACAATGCTTTCCAAAGGTTTTATGTTAGTTTCAAGGTGTGTGTTGATGGATTTCTGCCGAGGCATCAAGATTTATTCTGTATGGTTTATATTTTGTTAACATCCCAGGTGATGTTATAGAAGTAGTCCTTTTATTTTGTTTTTATTTACTTTGCAAATGTTTCCAAAAGTAGTTGGCTGTTAACCGAAACTTCACAATTATAAGTGGAACGAATTTTTGTATTGTCGGCATCAATAAACATTTAACTTTGTTGTTTCCCAATCAGCTTGGAATAACTTCATTCTTAATAGATATCAAACTGCAATTTCCAAAAACAGTTGGTTGCTAATTGAAACTCCCTAATTATAATTGGAACAAATCTTGTATTGTCGGTATCAGTAAACAATTAACTTTGTTGTTTCCCAATCAGCATGGAACAACTTTATTCTTAAGTGATATCAAAATGCAAGTAATGAAAATTACATGAATGACAGTTCATGAGCATAATTTAGAATTTTTTTTCATTAATTTGGATAACTATACAATAGAATTGATCAACACATCAATTCAAGAAAGTAATTAACATTAACGTCTAAACAAAGCAAAAAAGACTTGTTGATCTCTATAATAGTACTTAGCATTCAACTCATTTCGACATAACACGTTAAAAACACAAACGGATGGCTACATTAACAATAACAATTGCAATGAAGACTTTCATTAAGTACATGATCCAGTCAAGCTTCTTAATAGCCTTTGTCTCAAAGCCTTTGTGTTCATCATCTGTACCATAAGATGCATCGTCTACTTCATGTATCCATCTAAAGTACTACAATCGTCATTAGTTCGATTATTCATGCACCTATAAAATTATTTTCCACTATTATGACCACGGTGGCATGTATACAATACACAATTCAAGCGACAATGACAAAAAACTTTAGCACGTGTGTGCCTGTCTCTTGTAGCAATTGAATTCGTAGAACTCATTTTAAACCTTAAAATAATCTATCAATAAAGAAGAGAAAATTGAGGATTCTTTGAGTACATAATTATAATCTATGAAATGAATTCTTAAGAATAGTCAATATGTATATATGATGAGTCCATTCAAAAGCATTACAATACAAAAGCATTTGGAATAAACATTTTCAGCGACAGCTAATATGACTACATACAAAGATCATTCTGCAACTTACAATCGACCAAAAAGGTAAGAACTTAGAGCTTGCAATCATTTTGTAACAAAATAGCTATAACTTAGAATTATTCTGTAACAAAACAGTTAGAACTTATAATTATTCTGTAAAAAAATAATTAGAACTTAGAACTATTATGTAACAGAACAGTTACAAATTTACAATCAACAAATTCTGTAACTTGAAACTCATTCTATAACTTAGAATCAACAAATTCTGCCAAATTATGAACCAAAGAAAATGGAAGATATAAGAGTACCTGTAGCTCGCGAGGGGAGCAGATCCAGACGCTTACACAAGAAGACCAACAAGGAAGATCTATAACTAGAAAAGATCTGCAACGAGGAAGATCTGCAGCGAGGAAGAAACAAAGATTTGCAGCTCGCGAGAGAACAACTCATGAGAGAAGGGCAGCGAGGATGATTTGCTGCTCGCGAGAGAAGCAAAGGGTTCCACGACATGAAGCAGTGAAGAGGTTTCATAAATAAAGTAGCTAGGGCTTGCCAAATGAATACAAACGGAGTGAGCGAAGTTGTTGACGGAGTGATATTTCAGTTGTGAAAATTGTGTTGAGTGGTAGTAGTGTAATATTTAAGTATTAAGTGTTAAATATGTAATATACAAAAATAAAGTGGTATGTATGTAAATCCCCATTAAAAATTTGCCTTGTAACATACTCGTTAAAACTCTCATCGATGACCTAAAAAAGATAAATAGGATGCAGAGAGGCAGATGTGCGAATTTTGATAGCCTACATGTACATAAAAATATATTACAATTTAGACAATGAAAGAGTAATATTTCTAGCACATGACATTATTAGAAGCAAAACATAAACATAAAGGTTATAAAAGATAAATGAAAACCATAAGCTAAAGATTGCTATTTTCTTCAATAGCCTATTATATTTGTTGAGACTTTAGGACATGCATATTTGGGAATATAATATGGAGGTGTATTTTATCCTTTAACACCTAATGCATGTAATTTATCATAATATGTTGTCCTTGCGAGTTCTTAATATACATTCAAAAGAGTTGATCCTAATGTTCTATTAAATGACACATAAATATAGTTTGAAATAAATGAAATGATTTTGTTAGCATATCAATAACTTAAAAACAAACTTATTATTTACACATATCAGATGCATTGAACTCTAAATATGCGATAGGTAAAAATGGCTAAGAGGAAACCGATTTGTTGTAGGGTTTTTCGTTTTGCTCTGCTAGGGTTTCAGCTGATTGGTTTTTCTCACCGTCACTTCCCCTGGGGGGGGGGGGATTCTCCCTCCCAAGATGGCTGCCACCTCACCTGATTTTCCACCTCTTATCTCCCCCTCCGTTCTTGGCCCGTCCCCTGAAGGTTTGTCCTACGCGGCCAACGTCTCTGCTTCTTTGTCTAAACCGGCTCCTTTTCTGGTTTCCTTCTTCTCTCCGGGACAGAAACTATCTTTCAAAGCTGATGATCTTTCGGAAGGAAAGACCATTTGGACAACCACCCTGACTGGATACTCGTTGGGACCCCGTCCATATTATGAGCGTTTACTCAAAGCTATGCAGAAGCTCTGGCAGTTAAAAGGCTCGATGTCCCTCCTTTCCTTAGCTGATGGTTTTTTCTTGCTCAAGTTTTCTACTGAGGAAGATTTGGAGATGGTTCTCTCTGGAGGGCCATGGTTTCTGCTGGGAAAACCATTTATTCTTCAGCGATGGTCTCCTAAATTCAAGCCTAAGCGCGACGAGGATTCTTCAATACTGATATTGATTAAAATCGTTGATTTCCCTCTGGCTCTTTGGACTCCAACTTGTATCTCTAAAATCTCAAGCTATATAGGTATCCTGATTTCTGTTGATACTCTAACTGCAAACCGCACTAGATCAACGTTAGCACGGGTATGTGTTCTTATCTCAAAAGACTCTACTTTACGTGATGAAATACCGCTTGAAATTGATGGCGAAGATTTAGTTTTAAAAGTTTATATGATTGGAAACCCGAAATGTGATGGTTGTGGGTCTTTGATCCATCCTTTCTCCCTCTGCCCCAAGAACCCTAACCCAAAACCTGACATACCTCCTCATCCACCAAAAAATAGAGGCCGCAGCACCTCTAGATCGCATTCCTATCGTCCCCACAGGTTACCATCTATCCTTTCTCCACCAAAAACCACCAACACTATCAACTATCTAATTCCTTCCTCTGCTCTGTTAACTACTGCTTCTTCTATGGTTGCTATGTTGGCTTCTTTGTCTAATGCAACTCATTCTCCTAATATCCCTGTTTCTGCTATGTTACAGGATTCCAATCCGGTTCAGCCTCTAGCTAACCAGTCAAACCCTGCTTTATTAAATACGCTACCCGAACCCCAATCTTCTCCAGCCAAAACATCTCTGCTTCCAAACCTAAATTCCCCGACAGAAGAATTCTCATCTTCTGGTAAGACGGCTTCACCCGGTATTCCACAGCCTCCCAAAATTCCTCTTCTTAACAAGTTTGCCTCACTGCAAACTGATGAGCAAATTCCTTTTGACTCTTCAGAATCCTTCTCGGAGACTGAAATCACTTCCTCCTCCATTGCTGATGATGATCCTAATCCTAGCCCTCGAACCCAGAATACCTCAGATCATAATTATCACAATACTAGATATTCAGTTGACAAAGGCAAATCTACTTTGAAGTCAAAACCGCCAAAGGGCAAATCGGCCAAGAAGGCCAAAGGTCAAAATTCTTAATGTACTTTCCTAAGTTTGCCATTTGGAATGTTAGGGGGTTTAATAGCCCTGATAAAGTGAGTTTTTGCAAGTCTTTAATTAGTTCTCATGATCTCAAGATGTTATGCATTTTGGAAGCTAAAATTTCAACTACTTATGTTGATGACCCGTGGTTTATGCGTTCTCATTGCCTTTTTGAATATGAAGGTAGTAGCAATAACTTTGGGGATTCTTCCCTTGGTAGGATTTGGATTAAGTGGGATGCTTCGTTTTTCTCTTTTAATCTAATATCCTCCTCTTCCCAATTCATCCATGGCATTCTTTCTATGGGATCTTTTCCCCCTATTTATCTTACTGTGATTTATGCATCCAATTCTGTGGAGGAAAGGAGGCACCTGTGGGAGCATCTAGGTTCTTGTTCTCCTCCTTTAGACCATCCTTGGGTCATCATGGGAGACTTCAATTGCTACAGATATGAAACTGAAAAAGCTGGTGGCTCCATCTCTAACTCTAGCAGATTGGTAGAACACAATAACATGAATTTTAATTGTGGGGTACAAGATCTTTCCTCTACGGGTCTTTTCTTCACTTGGTACAACCAAAGGGTGGATAATCCTATCCATATCAAGCTGGATAGAGTTCTTGTAAACAATGCTCTTCTGGATTTCCTTCCTAATGCCTATTATAGTGTGGAATCTCATCTAGGTTCGGATCATGCGCCTTTAATTTTCAAATCTTCTCATGATAAGGCTTTATCTGTTAGATTCATGTTTAAGAATTATTGGATTAATATGGAGGGTTTTTGGGATGACGTCCTAGCTGCTTTCTCTTCTAGATCTACTAGAAGTCCTTTGGTGTCCTTTTACCATAGTTTACAATGGCTTAAAAGAGCTTTTAAGAACAGGAATTGGGCATCTTCAAACTATCTTTCTAATGCCTTGTTGGAGATAAAGAGCAAACAACAACAATATTTATTTGAGATCCAAAACCATCCCCTTGACTTGGAGTTAAACCAAAACTTGAAGAATAT